TGGAATTCAACAGCAGGCTTTTTTTAATAGAGAACAGCTTATTTCATTAGATGTATGAAACTACAGTTTCAGTGCTACACGACAAACTAAGGAGGGTCATCCAAGTTGCCTTGCGAGGGATGCCCTATGGGCATTTTCACATGCTTTTGAGCCTTCCTCCTGAAACCTCTCTGAAAGCAGGGACTGTTTTTTGAGGGGTGTGAAACTAGTCACAAAAATATTCTGGCTCAGGTCTAATTGGTATAACACATTCAGTGAGCTGGGAATTTGACATGTAAATAGAGAATTTATATGCTTGCAATTGAGATATATTTGGAACTGTCATTGCTGTAAAAATATATTTGAGAACAAAATGAATAGCTTTGTAAAGCAGAGGAGTGTCTTTGCTTCAAAGCTGAAATTCATTATGTGAATATTGTCTGTTGCTGCTAATTTAAAAAGCTCTTCCCCCCTGCATATTTTCTTTTCTGAAGATCATTTAACTGTTATAGGGTATTGACCTCATCAAAGACATCTCTTTTCTGTTGCAGATTCGCTATATTTCACAAACTCAAGGCCTTCCAGCAGAGTATCTTCTGAGTGCAGGCACGAAAACAAGCAGGTTTTTTAACAGAGATCCGAACTTGGGATACCCACTGTGGAGACTGAAGGTTTCTCTTTTTATGTGGAACTTTATTGCTTGACATTAGCACTTGCAGTTCACTTAAGAAAAATTCCCCATTGTAGCAAGTTTTAAATCATGAGGTGGAGGTTACAAGGTTTTTGTAAACAGTTAGGTCTTGAATACCATTCAGATGATGATAGTTCTTTGCTTTTCTTTTGAAACTAGTAAAGGTAACTGTCTGACTGCAGTAACTGAGGCTATAGCCCATTCAGAATACTTTCTTATGAAGGACATATGTTCTGAGCAATCAAAGACGAAAAGTTTAAAGGATTTGGCGGAAAAAACCCTATTCTTTGCATAGAAGCAATGTTGTTTTAATCCTCCCCCTGTCTGTTTAACAGAGCCCCTTCGATAACAAGGTTTATTTTGGTATTTACAAGCCCACTTAAAGCTGAAAGATTTTTCAAGTCACCAGAAAAAATGAAGAGTTTTATTATCTTATAAGAATCAAGGCCATCAAAATTTAGTTTGTGAAACATAGTAAGGAACTAATCTTTCTTTGCAGCCAGTTATAAAGCCAGACATTATTTGCTAGTGACGTCAACTTCTGCCACCTCAGAAACCCTGATCCCTTTCTCAAGTTGGTTGGTATTCTGTCATTGGGAACATAAATTTGGCATTCATTTTTGCAAGCTTAGGTAGCAAGGTTATGATGGCCTATCGTTCCGGCTTCATAGAGTATCCCACTTGTAAATGGCTGATTGCTTGTTGTCCTAGTATTATTGTTATTGCAGTAAAATGTTAAAACAGTGTTTGAGTTTCTTATAATATGTATTTTATTTGATAGACTCCAGAAGAACATGAGTTGGAGACGGGAATAAAATCAAAGGAGGCTCGGAAGTATATTTTCAACTGTTTGGATGACATGGCACAGGTGAGAGTAGAGCATTGCGGGGGTGGGGTGGAATAATGCTACTTTTTTGAAGCTCGTAGGCAATGTTCCACAGTGTTGTGAGCAAAAATTCTACCTCGTGAGCGAAAAAAGCTAGTAGCATTAAAGTTGTGATCGAATCTACATTTGACTGTTGCCTAATTAGTTCTTTAGATTATTTGCATAACATTGTAAAAATCTCAGAATAATTTTTTTTAAATTATATTTAAACTATATTTTAAGAATAATTCAAAAATTAGAAGACAGAATCAAGTCAAATTTCATTACAGAAAATGTTGTCTTCTATGGGAGCCTCCAGAGAACAGGTCTACTTACAGGCCAAGTATAACAAAGGAGGAACAATCACTGTCAGAACCCTGCCTAACCTAACAAACAGGATGTTGCCCAGACTACTTATTTATTCAGATATTTATATCCCACTTTCCCCTGTGACTCAAGGCAGCTTACAGATCATACTGAAAAGCATAATGGATGTGCAAAAAATTATTTTTTCCGCCTCCATTATAGCCTATGGGGACCATTATAGTCAATGGGCCCAATAGGCTATAAAGAAGAATCAATCCAGGGGTATCTGGGGCTTGGAGGGGGGCTGTTTTTTGATGTAGAGGCACCAAATTTGTGGCATAGCTGCTAGTGCCTCTCCTCAAAAAAAACCACCCAAGTTTCAAAAAGATTGGACCAGGGGATCCAATTCTATTGGTTCCAGAAGGAGGTGCCCCCATCCTCCATTGCATCCAGTGAGGGGGGAAATGCCTTAGTGTGAGCAGAAGCTCGAAATCCCTGAGCTGGAGCTAAAATGTTGTGTTCAGCTCTAGTGCAGCTTAGAGGGAACTCTGCTCGTGCGTAATGATTCAGAGCAGAAGTATTTTACATCCACTTTACACAGGCTCTCATTCTGTAACACTGAGGGCTACAAAATAAGCGGGGGATTGTGTTCAGTAGCCTTCTCTTAAGCATACCTCTTAATATTTGATTCCAGCATTCATATATTAAAAAATGGGGTAGAGGGAATCAGGTATGTTGAAAACTTTGTTGGTGATTAACTGGTTTGTAATTTTGGATTCTCAGGACTTTTGCATACTGTTTTGCAGTTACTGTATATGTGAGAAGTTATACTTGATCTTAATAAACATTAAAAAAAGAATGTTAAACTGAATCAAAACTGCATTCTCAGGAAGATTAGAATAAAACTGTTTGGTGTATCTAGTTATTTATTTATTTGTAAACTTAATGGTTTATGCAGCTGTGAAAATTTAAGTGCATTTCTTTTCCTCCAAGGTAAATATGTCTACAGACTTGGAAGGAACAGACATGTTGGCAGAGAAGGCTGATCGAAGAGAATATATTGATTTGCTAAAGAAAATGTTGACAATTGATGCAGATAAGAGAATTACTCCGCTGAAGACTTTGAACCATCAGTTTGTGACAATGAACCATCTACTGGATTTCCCACACAGCAACCAGTGAGTTTTGTGATTGGCATGAAACAGTATTCATACAGTTTTGTAACCTGCTGAATCTTGAAGCTGCAGGACTAATAATAAAACCAAAAAGCAAAAGTCCTCGTATAAAATTATATTAGAAACAGTCAGTAATTTTTACTGATTTTCTCCTCTCAGTCTTCGCCTTCCAGCGGGGCCATTCTTATGTACTTTTGAGGATTGCTGGAAGCATGTCATTGAGGTCAGGAAATTTAGGATTAGCTGGTTTTCAGTGCTGCTTGAATTTGGGGGTTGTTTTCTAAAGAATTTTATTAAGGATTTTATTTTTTAAAATAAATATACAAAAATAGAGAAATAAAGAAAATAATTCCAATTTTTTCTATGACAAATATGTAAAATTGCCAATTTAACACTTTATTATTGCAACCAGATATTAATTTTCTTCTCCATTATTTACCATTTTCCCCCTTAATCATCAAATCCACAAATCATCAGTTCATTTTTTCCCCATTTCATGCAAAAAGTCTATAAGAGGCTTCCAATTGGCAATAAAGGAAGATAATGCCTTTTCTCTGATCAAGTGGTAAGTTTAGACATCTCTGCAAGTTCCATTAGCTTCTTTCTTTTTTTGGTAAAGATTTTATTGTTTTTCCATTACTATATCACTAAAGCTACAGGAATGGGAGAGTGGAACTCTGTTACACTATACACTACAATTCTACTAGGGACTGGGGAAGTGAAGCTAACAGGTAGCACGTTTTTGATCTTCGTTTTTGATTTTTAAATCCTTCCCCATCATGAATTTTAGCACCAGATCCCTGGTAGCTCGTTTCGTGAATTTCAAATAAATTTCTCCTGGGAGTTTGTTTTTCTTTATAAAGTCCGGATAAATCCTATAGGCCAAGTCCATCTCGTTCAGTAATTCTTGTCTGTAATCCATTAGTGGTACAAGGGCATCCGCTAAAAGTTCCTTTAAGTTCTCATTTTTTTCTTCTGGAATCCCTTGGAAACGTAGGACATATGTGGATCTTTCCAGCTGAGGCTGCATTAGCTGTGTTTTGTCAGAGGATCTTTCTTTATCCGCTTCATCCATTCTTTTGTTAATACTCTCAGTCTTTTTTCCCATCATTTTTATTGTTTTCTCTGTAGCTGAGGTTCTGTTATCCATTTGAGTAGATTGTTTTTGGACCGTGTCCAATTTGGTGTTGAGATTCGTCATCTGCTCCATTAGAGGGCGCAGTGCATTTGCTAGCAATATAGAAAAGTCTGTAGTTACTTCCTGGTTCTGGGAGGGAGTCATTGGTTGATTATTTTCTCGGAGTGGTTTCTTCTTCGGCATTGTTCTCCGCCCTTTCCCCACCATAATATCAACAAGAAGTAAGTTTTCCAAAACAAGATAAAAGTTCAACGATTTTAGTCGGCTTTATACTAGCATGCAGTTTCTGACTTCGTTAAGATTTTTTTCAGTTTAGATTAGCTTAAAGTCTTTTGTTCTCAATTTAAAACCGCTTTTCAGGTTTTACTGGGTGGGGATCTTGAGTTCCCCCTCCATCCCCACTTTGTTCGTAGGCACCTCTAATTTCTACCAAGGCTCATGTTCGCTTTGTAACACTTGAACATTGCATAACTCATGGTTTGGAGCCTTTGGCGTCTTTTAGAAGCATTTTTTAAACTTTTGATTGTGTCCGCTTGCTCCGGCACTCGTCTCTAGTTGCCATATTGGCTCTGTGATGACGGGACCTTACAGGGAAAAGGTGAGCCTCAATTCCTTGGCCATTGCCTTGGAAGAGGCTGGGGATCTCCTACAAAGACCCCGGGAGGGTTTGGGACAAGCTCGGACCCTTTCCGTCAGCAGAGTCTCGGAACGTCTCCATCAGAAATAGACGGGACGCATCCGAGCAGTGAAACGCTGAAACCGGTAGTTCCATTAGCTTCATCAACCATTCCTCTTTTGTAAGCAATGTTAGAGTTTTCCATTTTTGTGCATGTAGTAATCTCACTGCTGTTATGTTGATGTATAAAAACAAAGTCCTATGACTTTTTCCCAGCTGTCTGTCCAATAGGTCCAGAAGAAATGCCTCTGGTTTCATTTATACGTTAATCTTCAAAGTCTTCTGAATTTGGGAGTTGTGATGGTAGGATGGTAGGAAGCACATTGTTTTGTGATGGAGAAAGGATGTTCATCTTCAGTCATCTATGCAGTCTCATATTGGGACTGTGCTTGCGCAGGCCAGCCACCAGAGGCTCTCTTACAGTTACTCTGGTACTTATTCAGCACTCTTAAGGGGAGCCCCTCCCCTGCAGAGCCTATTAGAGGTGGTTTTCCCACCCAATGGTCATGTACTCTGCAGGGAGGAGCCCCCCTTTCCCTCAGTTCTTTCTTCACCACTGTGTTGTTTGGACGTGTTTCTCTTCAGTTCTGATCATTGTGAGTTTGTTTCAAAATTTTCATTGTTCTTGGGATCTTCTTCCTTTGGGAATATGTTGTAGAAGACTTTATTTAAAAAGATGTACCCAGACATCTGAATGCCTTTTCTGTTCGGGTGAAGCCCATAATACAACCATGTGCAAAATTTGCTCCAGTTTACTCTGAAGGACTGCTCAGATTGAGTAGCGCGATTAAAGGCAAGCCTATGGAAGAAAGCACTTTCTTGCTCCAATAGCCAGGCAGCGAAGGCATCTACCCTGGCAGAGCACACAGTCTGTACTGTCGAAATCATCGGTTAGAACTGACCACCTTTTGAGTCCGCCACTGAACGTCTCAGTTTCATTGATTGTGGGGACAGAACCGAAGCATCAGACCTGATCAACTGTCTGTTTGACTGAACAATGTTAGTCAGAACCACTACCTAAGAAAGTCCGTTCCAAATTGAAACATAAGGAAAAGCACCACTGGTTCCAATGACACAGACAGAGGTTCCTCCACCTTGAATGCCTTCGCCACATGCCTCCCTGACATATTCATGCTCTAAAGTGGAAATAGAGTCTGGCCAGGGTGCATTGGCGGTTCCAGAGATTAGCTGCCCTTCTGAACCATACTCCCCAGTACTGTGGTGTGGTTTGATGCCTTCTCCCCCATGGCAAGGCTATCTGTATTATTTCTCTTCTCCCAGGTCTCAAGAATGTGGTGACTGGCAGCCACAAAGGATACCTTCAGAACCAAGGACCCCTTTTTCACAAAACGGGGATAGGGCAGCTCTGCCAGTTTGGTACCCTCCTACAGTCTCTACTGTCTCCAGTCTTATGTCTCCAGTCTTATGGGACGTTTGGATTCTGATGAAAAGAGTGTCAAAAGCTAATTCCCCTTCTGGTCTGGGCTCAGACTCGCTATCCAACCCCTCCCCTGACAATACTGTAGGGAACCCAGATTGAGTGTCATCTAAGGAGGACCTGAAGCTCTGCGCAGAACAAATGATGTAAATGGCTAAATCGCTAGACATAGAGGTGACCTCCAGCAACCCTAGACCTCGAGATAAGATCTTGGGAAGGTATTGCTGACATCTCCAAAGCCCTCTTGCAGAAACTGGCTAGCGTGGCTGCTACATCCAAGAAGGTGGAGAATTTGTGCAGGGTACAACAAAAATGTTATACTTATTTGTTTAGTCATCCCCCAGCTTCATCCCTGATAGCTAAAGAAATGCAGGTAAAACAACGCTCAGGCACACATTCCTCACCTGCTGATAGGGAAGGGCGAAAAATCAATGTACTTAGTAGGAAAGTTTACTCTTCTACTGCACTCAACCTGCCCGTAGTCAACTATAGTGCAATTATGGGAGGATGCAAGTTGTTCCTCTGGGAAAAGATCACTGCGTATGTGCAATTTCTACCTGAGGATAAGAAGCCTCTTGCTAAACATCTACAAGGGGAAGCACTGCGCCTATCTAAACAACAAATTAATGCCAGCAGACATGGCGCTTACTACTCATCCAGGGCCATGACTTCAGCACTTGTATTGAGAAGGCACACTTGGCTGCGCTTCACAGTCCTCCCTCTTGACACCCAACAGAAGTTGGAGGAAGTTGGCGAACCTTCCGTTTGAGGACACAACAGTATTTGCCTCATTGACTGATAGTTATTTTTGTCACAAATCAAGAAGAACAAGCAAATGGCTTGTTTGTTTGGCATCACTGCTGGTCTTGCTACTCCATACAGACCTTGGCAATTGTACAGATTTTATCAGCCACAGTAATCGTATTCTTGGCACTCACACCAGCCACAGCAGGTTGGCTGCTTTTGGTGATAAATGATGGGGCGTTACCCTAGATAGTTGGGTTTTGTCTATTGTTACTTTAGGATATAGGTTAGGCAGTGGCCACTCCTCCAATATCCTAATCACGCTCTTAATAACTCCATGCCTAAATTGGAACAGGAGCTGGCATCCCTTATCGAGAAAGGGGCAGTACAGAGAGTTCTGGACTCAAACTCCATCACAGGGTTCTATTCTAGTTTTTCTTGTTACCCAAAAAGGATGGAGGTCTTAGACCCATCCTAGATATGGGGGATCTAAATTTCTTCCTGCGTGTTTAGAAGTTTAAAATGTTGTTTTTGGAGTTGGTTCTACAATTGATAACATTAAACTGTTGGTTCTGTGTTCTTGACCTGCAGGATGCTTATTTCCATATAGCTATCCACCCTCATTACCGTGGGTACCTGCGTTTTAAGTATAACAGTGTTTTCTACCAGTATATGGCCTTTCTGTTTCAGCTAGCAATGGCCCCAAGGGTATTTTCAAAGTGCGTTGCTGTTGTGGCAGCACACCTAAGATCAAAAGGGTGCTCGATCTACCCATAGTTAGATGACTGGCTTATTACTGCACCTTCCCATGAGGAACTACAGTCACAAGTTTCCCTGATTGTACATACATGCCAGTAGGTGGGCTTCCTAATCAACATTAAGAAATCATGATTCCAACCTTCTCAGAGGGTTTTCTTTATTGGAGTTCTGCTGGATGCCACAGTAGCTAGGGCTCTTCTACCAGTTGATAGAGCCTTTCAAATTAAGGCATTGTTTGGGCACTTTTGTAACAGTAGGTTTCAATCAGCCTTGTTCTTTCAGAAGCTGTTAGGCATAACTGTATCTATTCCACAAGCACACCTAAGAATGCAACCTTTCCAAAACTGGTTTTTAAGTAAATTGCATTCTGCTGTGCATTCTCAATATAGTAGGTTCATGGTACCTAGACCATATACGACAGTTGGATTGATGGATAACCTCCTAGCTGGGGTGCCATTTGGGAGTACGACAGTTGGATTGATGGAGGTGTGTCAATAACCTCCTAGCTGGGGTGCCATTTGGGGGAAGGGTCCCTCAGATTTCTATCACCTCTGATGCATTGTTGCAGGGTTGGGGGGCCTATTGTGGATCACTTTTGGTACAGGACGTGTGGTCACCAATGTTCCCTCTAAGCTGTGGAGTCTTGTGAGCAAAAATTCTACTTTGTGAGCTACTGGAATTAAAATTGTGAGCGAGCAATTTGGCTGCTGCATAAGTTAGTTTGCTCTGGAGCCATCCTTCCCGAGCAAAGACTAAAATGTGCGAGCCAGGGGCTAAAAAACAAAGCTAGTTCACACTAACTCAGCTTAGAGGGAACACTGGTGGTCACCAGAACAAAGGGGTTTTCATATTAATCTCTAGGAGTTACATGCAATACAGTACACTCTTACCTTGTTTACAGAGCTTACCAAAGGGAAGGTCAGTCAGGTCATCACAAAATACTACGGCAATGACCTATATAAACTGATAGGGGCACAGTCTTGGCAGCCCTTTGCAGGGAAGCCACTATCCTTTAGGAAGTGGTCATAGCTCAAGGAGCCTCCCTCCAAGCAGTGCATGTGGTAGTCACTGCCAACACAAGAGTGGGCATTCTCAGCAGGATGGGGCAATCAGAACGTGAGTGGTCCCTAGGGGAAAATTACATCTTCCCAGTTTTCCAACAGTGAGGTTTTCTGAGAGTGGACCTTTTTTCTACCTGCGCCAATCCGAAAGCCCTGACATTCTGCTCCAGGGTGGGCTTTGACCATCTTTCTCTGGGGGTAGATCCAGGGGGGAAGCTGTGTTGATCTGAAGCAGCAGAACAGAGTTTGAGTCCAGTAGCACCTTTAAGACCAACAAAGTTTATTTGAGGTATGAGCTTTTGTGTGCACACACACATGTGTGCGTGCACACAAAAGCTCATACTTTGAATAAAACTTTGTTGGTCTTAAAGGTGCCACTGGACTCAAACTTTGTTTCTCTGGGGGATTCATTTCAAATCAGGTGGACAGGCACTCTGTTTTATGCATTCCTGTCATTCCCACTTATTCACAAAGTGTAAACAAAAATCCAGTTCGAGAATACATGGGTATTCTGTTTACTCTCTTTTGGCCCAGACAAATTTGGTTTCCAGCCCTTTAATTGCTGTCCAAAAGCTGCTATATAGAAGAATAAGAGATTGGATTTATACCCCGCCCTTCACTACCCAAAGGAGTCTCAGAGCGGCTTACAAACTCCTTTCCCTTCCCCTCCCCACAACAGACACCCTGTGGAGTAAGTGAGGCTGAGAGAGCTCTGACAGAAACTGCTCTTTTTCAAGAACAGCTGTGCCAGAACTATGGCTTGCCCAAGGTCATCCAGCAGCTGCAAGTGGAGGAATGGGGAATCAAACCCGGTTCTCCCAGATTAGAGTCCACACACTTAACCACTACACCAAACTGGCTCTCTACCCCTAGATGCAGACCTGCTTCGCAGGGGCCCTATGGTCCACCATGAGGTACAAAAGATCAGATTGACAGCTTGCCTACTGAACGATCCCAGTTCGGATTCTCCGACCAGGTAGCCACTGTTCTTCTTAATGCATGTAGGCCTTCTACTAGAAGGTCTTACATGAGTATATGGGCCCGTTTCTCAAATTGGACCAGGTATTTGAATACCTTCTATATCTTAAAGAATCTGGTTTGGCAGTTTCTAACCTGAAAGTACTAAGGTTCAAGATAGGACACTGTTTACTCACCCAGCATCCAAGAGCTTTTTGTGAAAGGGTTGCTAAATTTGTTTCCTCCCAGGCCACCTATGGTATCACAGTGGTCCTTGTCAGTAGTTCTCTCCCAGCTCATGCTAGCCGCATTTAAGCCATTAGGTTCTCGTCATTCAGGGTCACAGTTTTAGTAGCAATCACTTAGGCCAGGAGAGTGGGGGACTTGGCAGCTTTAAGATCTGACCACCCATTTATTAAGTTTCAGACTGGCCATGTAGTTTTGAGACCTAGTTTATGTTTTTTACCAAAGGTAGTCTATAGTTTCCACCTTTCCCAGAACATCATCCTCCCAGTATTCTTTCCATCTTCTACATTTAAGGCAGAAAAAACATTACATTATTTAGATGTGAAGAGATCTGTATTGTTTTATTTAGATAGGATAATTGGTTTCAGGAAATCCCTGCGCCTGTTTGTGTACTTCTCCAGTAACTCATCACAAATGATTTCTAGATGGATAGTCTTGGCTGTTTGGCTGGGATATGAGCAGGCCAATTTACCATGTCGTCTGGTGCCCGCATTCTCCACCATATCTGTTACCCCCAAGACAGCTTTATTAAATAAATATGTTGCCTTTGCTTTGATTGGGGAATAAGCTACAACAGCAGAACTAGCAGGAGGCTGGGGTATAGCATGAATCTGCTATCAGTTTTTACGGAGATAGTTCCTTTTAGACCCTTAGTTTAAGGCAATAACCAGTCCAAATTGTAACAGAAATGGGTTTTATTTAAATAATAATAATCTAGATGTTTACATTCATATCAGAGACTGCAAGCATACAAGAAGATATAGAAAGTGGTTAGCAGACAAAATAGAGGGGGTTGGGGTAATATCGGGGCAATACTGTACCTATCCTGAATAGATGAAGGAATCCAAGTTATGATGAGAGCAGATGTGTGGACCGACCAGCGAGACCACGGAGGACCTGAGTTATGATCAGGGGTGTTAGGTTTTGTGTGTGCCCAGCTAAATCACACTGGGCATGTGCAAGACTGGGTATATTTATACCCCAAAATGTGTCCTGAGGTTATATTAAAGTGTGGTAGCTAGTTTCACAATGGATTGATGGGACTCCCATTCTGGAATAATAGGGTGATCTAGTGTTCCCCTGGTACAAAGGAGGAGAAGATCCTTAATGTTTGACAGGATGAAGCTGAATGGATTACCATTCTACAGAAATACAAAGTCAATGTTTACCTTGATGGGTCTGGCGTAGGTGAGAGAAATGCAGATATCTTGGACAAACAGGTATAGAAATGTAAGGATTATCAAGAGGTATTTCCTGAGTTCCAAGGTGTGAAAGGATTTGGGACAGGAAACATACAACATACTCCATTAATGACGGAGACACAGTGACCAGCCGCTTATCGTCTCTGCCTCCCTGTGCATTTGACAAACAAAAGACCTTGCATCTTGTCAGGAGAAGATGCTTGAGGCAAGAGCTTTGTCCATCCTTTGTCTTTTTGTCCATCAAAAGAGGTTTGTCCATCCTTTGTCTTTATGGACTGAACAGAGAAGAGTGTGGGGGGGGGGATGTTGCTTGGAGGATATCTGACCATGCAGCTAGCCTGGCACTTGGCCTAAGCTTTCCCAGCTAAATTTGGTTCTCCTAGCCTCCTAGCAAAAAGCCACTGTTTAAGCCAAGCCTGGCTTTATGAGGGCACTGCTTGTGGAGGTTCAGAGGTTGTTTTGGTGTGTTTCTGTCTCGGGAAAAAAACACCCCAGCTACTGGGTCTGTGCTGTTGGGTACAATGGAGCTTCAAGTGCACTCCACAAGGGCGCAGGCAGTGTCAGCAGCATTTCAAAGAGGAACCCCCTTGGAGGACATTTACCGAGCAGTGCCACGATCATCTTCAGACACCTTCATCAAGCATTATTCTGTGGATGTGAATGCAAGAAAAGATTCAGCTGCTGGTAGAGCCGTGCTGCACTCCAGTGAAACTCACCTCGCCTCCAAGCTCTATAGTCTCCTAGTGTGGGACTGTACAGAAGACTGAAGATGAAAACAGTGTTGCACTTACCTGTAACAGTTTGTCATTGAGGTGTCTTCTGTGCAAGCACACATTACCTGCTTCCTACCCAACTGTGAGTTCATAGAATGTAGTTACATTTGTGGCACTTGCGGTGGCTCAGTAGGACTGAGGGAAAGGGGGATACCTCTCTGCAGAGCATGTGACTGTTGGGCAGGAAAGCGGTCTCTAATAGGCTCTACAGGGGAGAGGCTCCCCTTAGAGTATTGAGTAAGTACCAGAGTAGCTGTAAGAGAGCCTCCGGTAGCTAGCCTGCACAAGCGCAGTCCTAGTGTGTGCTTGCACAGAAGATACCTTGATGAACTGTTACAGATAAGTGCAACACTGTTTTGCGCATGAGCAAAAGTGAAGATTAGATGTTTGATAACTAGTTTCACAACCACATACACATAATTTTCTGCAAACACATCAAACAGATTGACATGTCTGGATAATATTTCTTTTAACGTTTATTCTTTTGTAGTGTGAAATCATGCTTCCAGAACATGGAGATTTGCAAGCGAAGAGTTAACATGTATGACACAGTTAATCAAATCAAGAGCCCTTTCACGACACATGTGGCACCAAACACAAGCACAAATCTCACAATGAGTTTCAACAACCAGCTTAATACTGTGCACCATCAGGTAACCAGTTCTATTGTCTCTTTGAATGTCTGAAAACTTGTTTTGAGATTCCCAGGAGTGATTCTCCTTAGTAAGATAGATCTGGGTTTCAGTATCTGTACGCGCTTGATCTGAAATCAGTATCATATTTAATAGCTGCACTATCTGCTTGTAAATGTTCAGATGCGGTTCCAAGCACCTTCATTTTTAAAGCCTATTAGGGTTTGAGATCTCTCAAAGAGAGGCTCTCTTTGTATGGCCTGCCTTAACCTGTCTGCCCATTAAGAACTTAAAAGTGAGACCCAGAAGAACTTGCAGGGGTCATCTCATTTCTCCACTATTTCCTCCTCTCCTTTCGACCCACCAGTCAAATCTATTTTTTTCTGCCTCCTGCCTTCAGCTTACCCTCTGTCCTTTCCCCTGGTAGCCTTTACTGGGGAAAACTATGATCCAGTTGATCAGTGCTAGCCGCTAGTTGAACCCAGTTGCATGGTGGGAAGCCTTCAAGGGCTTGCAGGGGGCACCTCACTTTCTCCTGTATCCCTCCTCCAATACTGTTCCTTCTTTCCCTCCTGTGTACCCCCATGTCCTCAATATTGCCTTCTTCTTTCTCTGTTGCCCACCCACATATCAACCTACTCTTTTCTGCTCCCCATATTCAGCTATATTTATTATTTATTCATTCCATTTATACCATGTCTCCACAATGGGGACTCAAAGCAGTGACCTCATTCTCTTCACCTCCATTTTATCCTCACAACCACCCTGTGAAGTTAGGCTGAGTATGTGTGACTAGCCCAAAGTTACCCAGTGAGCTTTCATGGCAACGTGGTGATTCAGACCCGAGTCTCCCAAATGATAATTTGAAATACCACACTGAGGGGGGGGGGGGCTGCTGTTGAACAATAAGAAGCAGCCAGGTCTGGATGAGTCATGCATGGTATCAAGTCTCCTGGTGGTTGCTGCCCAAGCTGGCCTCAATGAGTCCTACCGTAAAGGTCAAAACAGCCAAGGAAAGGACCTGCCTTCTATGCCCATTTTTTACTAACTGTGAAAGCAAGGCTTGAAGGCTGGCGGTACTCTTGTGGTTGCCTAGAAATCCCTACAATCCCCACTGCATAGAACATTTGTTTCTGAAAGCTATAGGCACCGTTTTTGTTATTTTGGGGAGGTTTAACCCCCTAGTTGAGAATATCTATGTTGAAGGAAATAAGGACATATGTGAAGGAAAAGTGTGGCTTTGGTAGAGGTTGCCTGGAATACTTCAGTTTATACGCATCTTCCCTCAGTTTTAGGAAAAACTGCAAAGCACATCTTTAAAACTTAATCATTCTACTTTTGGCTTTATTGTTTCTTGGCTTTGTTCCTTAATTGTAGTTATTTCATCTAATCTTTTACTGTTAGCCACCATGAGAGTTTGGAGAGGTAGCACGTAAATTTGAAAAAATAAAATAACTTACTTGATCACAATGTTGTGATCTTTGGTGAGGAAGGAAGGGGAGGAAAATGGGTTGGGGCGGTCAGTTGGGGAGGAAAATATTTTGTTTTCATGAGTATGACAATATCTGGGGTGGGGGTAAGGTGGAGGGGGGAGAATCTGTAGGTAGGGTTACTGTGACTTGTTATAAAAACAGTATGTTTTTTACTCTCTTGGGATTTCTTGTGCTTAACTGATGGTTGGTGCTATAATATTACTGCACCAGGGCTTCACTTTTCAGCTGGTGCAGTGCATTCATAGTACCAGCAATCTGTTGGGAAGCGATGCAGGAGAAGCATCTAGACTGAGTTTAGGAACTTTTTCACACCACAGTCTCAGCACTGATCCTCTGTTTGTCAAGAAGGGCTGTTCCTACACATCCAAGTCAGGGGTGCATCTAGTTCAATTCTGCATTAGGTTTGCTTACCAGGCTAGTGCTGTGACAGCCCTTTTCTGGTAGATGGGGCAGAAAGGAAAGAATGCCTGGAACAGGTGCTGAAAAGTAGAGCAGGCCAAGGGGGAAAAATCTAGATGGCAAGGGGGGAAAATCTAGATTTCCAAGAGAGAAAACACAAGAAACTGGGCTGGGTGAGTTCAAGGCCATATGCCTGGCCCATTCATCACTGCTGTGGCAATCTGTTGAAAGTTCCACAAAGCCCGTCTTACCAGTGGAAGTGTCTCATAGGCTGTCAAGTAGCTCCAAGGTTTTCATGAGAGGCTGGGTGTTTAGGCATTTATTTCAGTTATATTGGTTTGATGTGCCTTTGATACAGGATCAGCCTACCTTTGATATAATAAAACCTTGGAATTTAGAGCAGACACATCATGATGGACTAGTGACCTATTTCTGGAGGCATATCACTTGTCTGTAAAGAACGTTGGATTGGAATGTTCTGATCCAGCAAGCTATTCCTGATCTTCTGCTGTAAGAAGGCATTCTAAGAATCACTTAATGTATCCTGGAGTAGATTCAAGGATTCTGGGCACTAAGTGAGCGAATCTCAGTTTTGCCAAACTGTCCCCCCCCCCCCCCCTGCCACTCTTGTCACTTAGGTGTAAATGGCTAGTCAGCTTTCAGAAACACACTGGCTTGTAAAAGATGTTAGGTTATTGAAAACCTGGATAACGTGGTTCCTTTTTTGTAGGCAAGCATGAAGCTTTTCCAACCTAGATAGTGTATTGGTTTTATTACTCTAGAAATTCTTGACAGATGTTTTTGACAAAAACATTAGTAGACCCAAAACTTGCAGTATTCTAATACTACATATTCTTGGTTTTTCAGGCTAGTGTATTGGCTTCCAATTCTACTGCTGCTGCTACTCTATCTCTGGCAAATTCTGATGTTTCTCTGCTCAATTATCAGTCTGCTCTGTACCCGTCATCTGCTGCACCAGTTGCTGGTGTGGCACAACAAAGTGTTTCTTTACAGCCTGGAACCACACAGATCTGCACTCAGACAGACCCATTCCAACAAACTTTCATTGTCTGTCCACCTGCCTTTCAAAGTAAGTGTGTTTGTGTTGGAAATCTTTCATGCTGTTTGCACAAAGGAAATATAGTAGTTAAAGGATTTTGTGGCATGTGCTGCTAAAATGTAATCTGATTTTTTAAAAAGAAAGCAGTAAAACTCATCATGGAGGTGAGATTTTATGTATACCAATTAAAATATTAAAACCATTCTGTATATGTTTTGAAATAAATGAAACAGGTAAAAATAGGATGAGATGGCATTTCAGTTAAATGTGCAACTGAGCAACTATTTTGATCATTTTGGGATCTGTTAAATACATCCACATACCTTGGGAAGTTGACATTGACAAAGCTAGGTCTGTTGTCTCATACTGAGCTTATTTCTAGGCAGTGCAGGCATTGTGCTGCTTCTGGTACTAATAGAACACTGTGATGAAGTAGCTTACTGTTTCTTTCATGGGTATTAAAAATAATCTGTTCTTGTTGATGAATTGTTACCCCCATTCAAGCAGGTGTTTGATGGGTCCCTAGCACAGCCTTCATACATTCTACATGCAGCTGAATAATTCAGCCTGAATAATACTCTGCAGATGGCAAGAAATAAAAGATTATGTTCCCCAGTGCACATCACCAGTAGCAATTGCACAGTTCTCTATTGGTATTTTGATGCTTCAAAATCTATTTCCATATTTATGACTCCTTCCTTCCTATTCTACACCACTCTAAAGTAGAGCCCAACCATAATACTCACAGACATATATCGTGTGCACCTCCACAACATCTAAGTTTTTTTAAAAGGAAAATATTGATGAAGAATATGCCAGTATTCCACTCTGTAGTAGAGTGGTTGGCTAAATTAATTTGTTACCAATTAGTAGATGGCTGTTGCAAAAATTGGGAAATAATTATCAGGGGGGAAAGCACAAAAAGACCCCCCCATTTCCCCCCAGGCCTTCACATCTACACATGTACATGCGGATAATATTGAGCATCACGGAAAGTAACATGGTTGGATACACCTTCAGTTAGGCATCTGTATATCTAATAGCCACGTGTGACCCCTCCATATGCAGATATCTAAATCCACTGATGGTGCCACACAGTAAGAAAACAGATAACTTCTGCAAATTTGGGGGACACCCCAGGTTTGCAGAAAAATCAGAAATCCTTAAATTAAATTTGGGGATTGTAAATCCCCCCCCCCAAAAAAAACCCCAGAAGTGTTGTCTGTGTATGTGCAGACAATGTAGAACGTGTGTCCACTTCAACAGCAGCAGTTGGGAGCCTTGCAGCGCCCAGGGGCAGCAGTATTGGCAGTGATTGGGGGCTGCAGCAGGCCCAGCTAGAGGCTGGGAGCCTCGCCAGGCCCAGGGTCAGTGGCATTGGTGGTGATGGGGGGGGGGAGCCTCAGTGGGCCTGGAAACAGTGGAGGCAATGTGGAGGGAACTGCAGTGGGCCTGGCTACAGAGGCTGGAAGCCTCCCAGGCCTGGGAGCAGCGGCAGCAGTGATGGGGGGAGTCTCAGCAGGCCGAGCTACTCAGGCTGTGAGCCTCACCTGGCCCGGAAGTGGCCGTGGTGGGGAGCCACGGTGGGCCCAGGTACAGAGGCTGGGAGCATAGCCTGGCCCAGGAGCAACAGTGGCAGTGATGGGGTGGAGGAGAATGGTAAGGAGAGAAAGGGATCTCCCATGAGTATTGCGGGTCCCCACTTTTATTTTATATTTTCTAAAGTCAGAAATCAGTTCATGGCTCTGATCCTAGTAGACCGAATGAATTATTCAGTGTATTAGCATTTGCAACCTTCCTGCTGCTTCTTCATGTTTCAAATCTTGGGAATTGGAATTTGAAAAAATGCTGGGATAGTTAGAGAAATCAATTAACCAAGACCTGTCCTTTGTTTGAAACAGCTGGTCTTCAGGCTACAACAAAGCATTCTGGATTCCCTGTCAGGATGGACAATGCTGTTCCAATTGTGCCACAGGCACCAGCAGCTCAGCCACTGCAGATCCAGTCAGGAGTTCTCACACAGGTAAAAGTGAGTCTTTAAATACTATTGGCGTATTCTGGATTGCAGATGCGAATCAGAAGAAATTCTTGGTTCTTCTGCATTTACTGGTAGAATCCTGCTGAGTAACTCTGAAGAAAAAGAACAGCAAAAGGTTGGCAATAGTCTGTTTCTTTATTTCGAACACTTCTCTGCTGTGACCCCCTTGGACCTGCAGCTTTGACCCTCACAGTGTTTCCCAGTCCTAAATCTTTAGCAGTTTTCCTTCACAAGGAGCTATATTAGTACAGATCTACAACTGTGGCAGAATATCTTTACTATGGATATTCTATAAGAAAATGTCAGGAAGCAATGAAAGACTTTAAAATTCCTCTTTCAAATGCCCCCACTCACAACAGAAGAAATGGTTAAGTTTCTTTTTGTGAAGTTGATAAAAAAGATTGCTTATATAATATTCAGTGTTTATTGTGATACTTGAAATTCATTTTGTATTCCACTCAAAAGCAAATGGCTGTTTTCTTCTAGAAACGCTTATATTTTTTCTATTCATTTTTATAATTGGGATGCTTGTTCCAGAATAGAAGACCTGGAATCCTAATAGTTGCACAGATTACTTACTGACATTAAATTCATGGTCTTTGCCATGGGACTAGTATTACATCATTGCAAACACTGTTCAGGTCAGGCATGATTCAAATAAAGTTGCATTGTAAGTTGACCATTCTTTATTTGTATTGCTGAAGGCATTTGGAAGCTCTCCAACTATTCTACACAGATCTCTTTCCGTATTCTATACTGATGCAACAGACAGATGGTTCCTATCTCCTGGCAAATGCAAAGTTTAAAAAAAATGTTATGATGGTATATAATGACAACGAGAATTTAATTATCCCATATTTTCAAAGAAATGTTTAAAAGTAGCCACAGGGATGGCAATGATTGTTGTGTTTATGTTAAAATAACAAAACTCTGGTTTAAAAATCAGACACATGATGGTAGAAGAGCATACATTGGTTTTAGGAGTTGGCCTATGTTTCCAGGCCTTCCTTGCACTTGTTTAGACACATACTCATGATTACAATTTGGCCCAAGTGCACAAAACACAAAAAGTTTGTTGATATACAGGATTGCTTAGTATCTCTTGTATTTTGGTGATATTAAGTTCATATAGATTTCTGTGCATACCTATGAATTCTGCAAGCCACTCAAAAGCTCCACTAGTCTGTCCTTGGGGAGAAAGCCTTTCTGGCCCTGTTGCCTCCGTACATTTGTTTCACTCACTGCCTAATCTACATTGCAGGGAAGCTGTACACCACTAATGGTAGCAACTCTTCATCCTCAAGTAGCCACCATCACGCCGCAGTATGCGGTGCCCTTTACTCTGAACTGCGCAGCCGGCCGGCCAGCGCTAGTAGAACAGACGGCTGCAGTACTGGTAATTGCCTCCCTTGATTGTGTTCACTAACGGAGTTTTTGTTTTAACTTAGACTTGCAGAGGGCATGGAAGCATGTGCCATCTTGTGGCTGTGTTCTTGCTACATCTTAATGTCTTGTTGTTTTTCCTCCCCAACATTGCTGAAGCACTGTCTGACTCTGATGTTTAGTGTTGCTCTGTAAAGAATCCAGATCCATTGACTGTTGTTCTTTACTAGTCTAGTATGTTGTTAATGCTCTTCTCCTTATCCGAGAAGAGTGGTAATTGTATTTCTTCTTTGCTTTACTCTCCTATCTTTTTATGTTTATTGATTGAAAACAAAGGGGATGACCATTAGGTTGACTCTGCTCAGGTACTTGGGTTGCCTGAACTTGGCAAACTTAGCTGCTATTATTTTTTAGCTTCTTCGCATGTAGAAATGTTTCAGGCACTGAAAACCTCTAATTACAGCAAATGCTTGATTAATTTATGGCTTTTACAATCCAGATTCCTTAACCTCCATTGAACAGTGGTGACACTAATTCTCCCTGGCCTTTCATTAACTCCGTCCAGTCATTGGCAGTGTGCATCATCCTCAGAGAGATGTTGCTCCCCGCCAATGCTTTTACTTCCTTTTGCATTTCTTGGTTGAGATTAAAGGTGAGCTCTTACCTTCTAAACTATTTCTCAGGCTTGTTTCTTCTTAAACCCAGTGGGGATATTAAAAGCAGTGTACTTTTTCAAAATTTCCCTTCCTGTTCTGGATTTGTCTAAGTGCAGTGTACTTTTTCAAAAATTTCCCTTCCTGTTCTGGATTTGTCTGGTCCCTGCATTGGAATTTACATTGTAGGTGCCACAAAACAGTCAATCGGAAACTCCAGAATCAGATCAGTGAAGCTAAGTGCACTTGAAATCCTGGTGTTCTCACGTGTCTTGCAAAGCACACTTCATTTGTTACGTACATCATTGTCTTTTGTGGCTTTAAAGTGATAATTCATGAGTATCGTTCTCTTCAACAGAGATAGACCCTGGGGCACTGCTGGCTCTAGTCAAAACAAGGGTCTTACCAAAATGAATAACAGTGGAGTTGGCACTTGTGCCGCAGTGCAAGAAGGCAGGCGAGAGAGGAAGATTATGACTCTGTATGCTTAGGACCATTAATGATCTCACAGGTCTCCCTTCTGCCTCCTCCCATGTTTAGCCTGACCTGTTTAAGGCTGAAATACATTTCCTGAAATATCGACCTTGTCTATAATGGATCCTAAAAGGCTGTTCTGTGATTGGTTGCTGTCAGAAGGCTGATGACTTTCTCACCCACCAAACTACTCTGATTAGTCCCTTTTTGGACACTGCTAAGGGAGAGGGCTATATATGAGCTGCACTAGAAATAAAAATTAATTGCCAAGGAAAACTGAATTCAGTGACACTAGTACATATGCAAATTAAGCAAATGGCATCTATTTGCTTACACTACATTCTGTTCATGGGAGGGGGAGAAGAGCTCTGCAAGGCACTGAAGCCCCAGCCCCTCACTCTTGGAATCCTTTTCTGCTCTCGCTCTCTCTCTCTCCCCCCCCCTCCCCCCTGCCTCTTCTGAGAGTCTGCTGGGCAGTTGCCTGCTTCTTCCCTACTTTGCAGCCTCAAGGGCTAGAAATTTGCTTTTTTAAAAAATGAAAGCTATGATTCTTGGAATGCTGTGTTTTTCACCCAGTACTAATTTCTACATTTGTGTGGTACGGTTACAAGAATACTGATACCACAGACTAAACCCCCCTGCCTACCTGGATCCTAATCTCTCTGTTAATTTGGCTTCTAATAGCTTTTTGCCTGAAGTGCTCACCTTTAGTGCTTTCAACACTTCTCCCTTTTGCCGCTTCATCTAAGTTTGCATTAGCCATTTGCTAAGCTTTGCATATTTTTGTCCCTCCTCTGTCAAAACAGTTCGTCGCTTGGAAGGCCCGATTTCTGCCTCCTGTTGGGACATTAGATCTTGCACTGTATTAAACTCTCTGCTTTGTCTTGTGCAGGTGTTGGCTTTTGGAAAGAGGCATGGTGTGACTTTTAACATAATTCTCTTTTTTTAATTATTCCGCTTGTGTTGGCAGAGGGGTTAGCAGTTCTCTGCTTGAAGGCTTCTTGTTTGGAACCGGTATTTGTAATAAGTGGATCTGTTACTTGCAGAAATTTGTCATTTAAAACAAACATGTGTTCATTGATTGCAGTCTGAACTGTGTGACTATGCGATTTATTCTAGAAATATTTTACTGCAGAACTTATTATTATTTACGTGGAAAAGAATATCATGCTTCTCCACAGACCTGCTTATGATAACTCGCAAATAAAGACTACCATAAACCATTTCTTTAAAAAATATAAATTATATCAAAAACAAGACAGGGGCAGAAAAGCAATATAACAGTCATTGAGCAGTCTAAAAAAACCCATAAAACAGTCCTCAGGCTAGAAGCAGACCATAAAATAGCTTTTCAAACCCCTTAGATAAAAGCCTAGGCAAAAAACTTGGTGCATAAAAGAAGAGAAGAATAAGAAGAAGGAGATTGGATTTATACCCCACCCTTCACTACCCAAAGGAGTCTCAGAGCGTCTTACAAACTCCTTTCCCTTCCCCTCCCCACAACAGACCCCCTGTGAGGTAGGTGGGGCTAAGAGAACTCTGACAGAAACTGCTATTTTTCAAGAACAGCTCTTATCAGAACTATGGCTTGCCCAAGGTCATCCAGCAGGTGCAAGTGGAGGAGTGGGGAATCAAACCCATTTTTCCCAGATTAGAGTCAGCGCACTTAACCACTACACCAAAGACAGTATGATAGGCACCACTACTGAAAAGGCCAAACTCTAGTTGCCACCCACATCACTTCTGCAGGCAGGGGTACAAAGAGCAGGGTTTGGGAGGCAGATCTTAACTGGGGGGCTAGACAGTATGGAAGGAGGTGGTCCTTAAGGATCCCATCTCCAAGCCATTTAGGGCCTTAAAGAGAAGAATCATCACTTTGAATTGTGTCTGGCAACACACAGGCAATTATTATTGTATGCAGACATTTTTGTAAAATAAACCATCATTATTAGAGGAGTTTGAATATGAATGAGTGAAGTGTTGTTGAATCAGTGACAGAGACCTATGTACAATCTCTGGATTGTTAGTGATGACTATAAATGTAATTATGGTTACCAGAACAGAAATCCTCTACTATATTCCACCATAGAACTCATGAGTAAAGACTCATAATTTATTTAAACTAACTTGATTCCCGTTCCCAATTCCCTAAAGGTGTCTGCTCAAACAATTTCAGTGGAGGTGATGGGCATGCAAGAATGCTTGCATGCAGCTTGCTGCTGTGTGTGAAGCTGCATGAGTAGGTATACTAAATTAGTAGGTGAGTTGGGCAGTTGGTTGTGGTCCCCTTTGGAAGGGCTAATTTTGCACTGAATGTGAGTATTTGATGCTGCGGTTATATAAATAGATAATTGTCATTAGAAGAGGAATAGAACAGAATAACTAAAACGCCTGTTAGAACTATGTATAATAAAAAATTATTAGAACCAAGTAGGTAATTTTCTTCATGGTTAACGGGGAGGTGGTGGGGCAGACAGTGCCATTCATTCTCACAAAAACACCATGGCTCAATGAGTGTACTTTGGCAAAGCTAATCCTGCCCCTCAGCAGTTTGCCTGCTTTGGGTAGGCAATTCCCCAATGGGTTGGTGAAAGAACTGGGATGGGGGGGGAGAGAGAAATGATGTCATGCTATGCACCAATGTCACGTCTAGGTGAAAACCTGGATGTGATGTCAGCATGTCAGCCAATGCTCTAGAATATCCAGAAGTCCGGTTGTCAGCTGACATCATGTCTGGGTTTTCACCTGTATGTGATACTGATACACTGTGCAGTATCATGTTTGCCACTTGCCATATGCCAAAAGCTCCCAGAGTACTGGGCAGCAGCCTGGCAACCCTAGGCAGGATTCAAGTCTTGGTTGTAGGAGAAATGTGTGTTTCCCCTTCATGGACCATATCTGCTCTCCAAGTGTCTCATGTGTTTCAAGAAGAGGCTAAACATGAAAATCACTGTCTTTAAAACGAACCCCAATTTATAATTTCTGATACTGATCAGCTGAGCAAGTTCTTTGGAGAGATAATTTCAGATGCCAGTTTTTTGATAACATTTTCTGCAGTACAATATGAGCACCAGAAGTCCTTCACAGACTTTCCCTGCACTATAATAGGTGAACAGTGTGGTGGAGAGCACGTGTTTTTCTGCTTAATTTGTTCTCTTCCCATTGTGAAACTGTTTGCAGAAGTGTCATATGCCTTGTTCTGCAAGTTAGCAGTCTACTCATTTCTTATACTTTCAACAATTAATCCCCTCCCCTGATTTTTAACTATAACTAATCAGTGGATCTTTTTATTTTTCTGTTTGCTGTTTTGCAGCAGGCCTGGCCTGGAGGGACCCAACAGATCCTGTTGCCATCTACCTGGCAACAGCTTCCAGGAGTTGCACTGCACAACTCTGTCCAGCCTACAGCTGTTATCCCAGAGACAATCGGAAGCAACCAGCAATTAGCTGACTGGAGGTAAGTCTTTTATGAAGTTAGCATATGAAACAACATTAGTTGGGAAGGAAGTGGTCTTTTTAGTTTAAATTTTCAGGTCATGATGTACTGGGATATTCAGGCTGCCGTGAATTGTTTGGACACTGTGGAAAGTTACAGGTATTTGAGATTTAGAGAAACTTGGCAGCAAGTGGGTTTCCAGTAGATTAGTGTTCTGGAATGGGAAGGCAGTGAATTGAATAGGGGTTTAGTAATATTCCAGGGAGATCCAAGTGTCTCTAGCTGATAAGGCTTTCCAGAGTTACAATAATACAATTATAAGAACAGTGTTAAACATCCTACTTTGATGTGTAAATTAGGCACCAACAAAACCATTGCAAGTAGAGTTACACCCTTCTAAGTCCATTTTTTAGTCATTGGACTTAGAAGGGTGTAACTCTGTATAGGCTGGTGTTGTATGAGACTTTCCTGTCTGACCTGTGCTTTGTAATGTTATCCAGCCATCTATAAAGGTTGGTGGAGCTGGTACAAAACTCCTTTCCCTTGAAGCAAGTCTGCATATCTGTTAGCAGCAATGTAAGACATTTTTGCTTGGAGTGGGGTTTTTGTGTCTGGGATCTCAGTAGCTTTAAGTGAGAGGGTTTAAGGTACTGTGTTTTTTTATTTGAATATGAACACATTAGGAACTGTGCGCTCCTGCAGGAAATGACGCCTGCCTAGAAAACAGAGAACATTTCTTTCCAGAGGGGGTGGTAAAGCTTAGTGAGACGAGGAGATTTTTGGGGAGAAGTCTCATGGAGCAGCATGGGCAATGTGGATGACATCATTTCAGTTGTGTCACCAAACCTGACCTCACCAAGTTGCCAGATGCTCCAGCATTCACCTGAAACTCTCGCTAGAGCAACATGGTCATCTGGCAACATGGTAAGGACATTTCTGGCTACACAAGTGGGTGAAGTTTGAAAGCTGACGAGTCTGTGTGTTGGAAGAGGAAGAACCTGAAGAGGGCTCTTCGTGTCACAAAGTCTGAGCAATAAAGAGATAAGTGTTTTTTTCACCGGGGGACTTTGAGGAGAGGCTGTGGCTCCATAGTAGAGTATCTGCTTGGCATGCAGAAGGTCCCAGGTTCAATCCCTGGCATCTCTAGTTAAAAAAAAAGAAGTATCGGGTAGTAGACGATGTGAAAGACCTCAACCTGGGTTTCTGGAGAGCAGCTGCCAGTTGAAGTAGACCATACTGACCTTGATGGACTAATGGTCTGATTCAACATAAGGCAGCTTCATGTGTTCATTCTTTAACCCGTCAACTGTGTTCAGATTAGAAAAGGTACTGAATTGAACAAGCTTGCTTATTATGTTCAAATGTCCTTGTTTTGATTCTGCTTCTCCCTCAAGTCATTTGAGCCCATGAATGAATATTTTACAGTTTGCCCTGTAAAGTATACAATTTTGTCAACATTATTTGTGCTTTATTAGGCCAGCATTACACATGCAAGTGGAAGTAAATGATAGGATCCACGCCCCTATAAATTGTGTAGAAATGACAAAAAGAAGCAAACAGATCAGATCATCAGTGCCACAGTACATAGACAACAAGGAATAGACAAGGGAATAGCCATCCATCCCTAGTACAGATCCCTTCAGAACCTAAACATGATAGATTGATTTATGATAACTTTCATTGTACTATTTGAAGAGAAACCAGAGCATATTATGGTATGATAACTTTCATTGTATCTTCCTATAGGCCTGCATCTACCCTGGAGGCAGTTCCAACTCAAGTCTACTCACTGATAGGGAGCAGCCCTCTGCGAGCCGCATCTTCTTCCTCCAGTGCTCTCCTTCCAGGGCAGGAACAGCACCAGCCCATAGTTATTCCAGACACTCCTAGTCCCCCGGTCAGCGTAATCACCATCCGCAGTGACACCGATGAAGAAGAAGACAATAAATACAAGCCTGGAAGGTAGCTTCACTTGTGTGGTTTTTAAAATTCCACTGAGAGGGGAAGAGTTGGTGTATCATGCTGAGTTCTTGAGCGGGCTATGCTAAAAGATAGGGCATATCCACTGAATAACTAACTAGAGGCATGATGAATTTTTCATTTTGAGACCCTAGAGCGAAATGTTTTTCACGGTTCTAGAAGTTCTGGGTATACGGAACTTCTTTTTCACGGTTCTAGAAGTTCTGGGTATCTGACACACATCAGAGGGGAAATATTTGAAAGAAAAAGCACCATCCAAAACACATATATCAGTTGCATCAGAGTCCACAGCAACCCCACTGCCACTTGCCAGTCATGACATGGTATGCTGATGATACTCCCAGAGTAGGCAGAGATAGAAGTACCTTATCAGTGCATGCAGGGAAAAAACGTGCTCCCCCAATGTCATGTACAATATAATGAAGGAAGGAACAAAGAGAACACCACATCCTTTATTGCAAGGAAAAACACGGTGTGACCAATAGGAGTCCTGGAATGCACTCATGCCAGTGTGCTCCACAGATGTGGGGTTGATTGTATTCCTTCAGTCGTGTTCCCTTTTACCGGCTGCACACTCAAGGAAGAAAATATGGCCACAGCACTCACCTGCCTGCCCAGAGACATTAGCTCACCAAGGCCTCTCCCACCCAAGGGTTCAAGTCTCCAGGTGGTAGTGGTAGTTTGGGGGGAGGGTGAAGACATTTGGGCAACAGTACATATGTGCATGTCTACGAAAGGCATGTTAAATGGGAAAAGACCCCATGTGGCAAAGGTGGCTTCGGATCCCACTAAGGAGAATGCTGGCAAAATGGTAAAGCTTTTGGCCAGAAACACATTGAGCAGCAGCAAAACAGAAAGACGAGGCCACATCTTGCACACTCCTGTAACCACATACCTGATTGGGCACACAGTTGACCGACACAGCATAGGGTATTAGGGAATTCCCCACAGCCCTGGCAGTGACACCAGCCATATATATTAGACAAGAAAGGTGACAGAGAAAGGTATGTTGAAGTGAGTATACACTGATGTGGCACATGCAAGTTCTCCAAGCCCTGCACTGGTTTAACTTCAAGACATCCTTGGAAGGAGTCCCAAACACAATCAGTTGGGATGAGCCCATCATGGTGACTGGCTTCCCCATGTGGCAGTCATTTTGTACAGTAATTTCTCATGCATTCTAGGGATTCATTACTGCTCTCTGCTTCTGTTCATCCTAGCAACCTGTTCTCCATCCCTGATCTGGTAATTCAGGCTGCTGGCATACAAAATACCAACAGTGGTCAGGGGGAATTATGTAAGCTGAAGAGCCTTTCCCTACCCCCTTAGTCAAGCATAACTGCATAGACAATAGAGGATGTACTCATCCCTCTGTGAGTCCTGTGTTGTGACACAGTCTACACATTTACTGAGCAGCAGCAGGCTTACTGGAAGGAAGTCAAATGAATGGGGTTGCATATCTCTTCTTTCAACAAGCCTCCTGTATCTTTGAAAGCTATGCTGATGGACAGCAGGATCACAGGTAGAGCTGTTCCTGTCATGCCCAAGAGGGGGGCAGCTGTACTGCTCACACAACTGTATGTTAAGTGGTGCAAGAGCCAGGTTAGAACAAGCTAACTGTCAACCTCACAGGAATGCAGCTGGATGCACCATAGTCAGTGCAGCTGTTAGTCATGTTATGAGCTCAGCAGATAGTATTGCACCGTAAACGGTGTCTATCCCAGCCCTTGTTGAGTGGCTACCTGGTGAAGAGTCAAAAGAGATACAATGGGACTAGTGAATTTTGTTCCACAGTAGCAGCAAATAGCTACTGGGCTCCAGATCTGTGCACATGGTACTGTTGTAGCTCCCTCAACTCCACTGTCCATATGGAGTGGATCACCTCTTGGGGAATGTAATGCAGCCATTAAACCAATACTTACCCACCCTTTGTGGAGAACTGCATTGCAACAGTGTCTGAACTTTCTGCTGGGACTGCTCTTCGGGGATCTGATCCTGAAATACATCATAAGTGTTTGGTCAGCAGTAACGGTGCTTAGAATGGATTGACAGGACTGTTGTTGTGCTTCTTGTGCCCTCCACTTGCAGGATTTGTGTGTGTGTGACAATGACATGATATTGCATTGACAACACAGTGTCGTGATGCCAGCATATTTGCAAGATCTCCCCTTCTCCCTTTCTGCACTGTGCATATTTACTGCTAGCAACTGTAGAGGGAAAGGAAGAAGGGCTGTTGAGGGAATTCAGAGTAGATCTATGTGGGAAGCAGTTTCTGTAGTCACAGCTTGGGGCAGTCCCCTCCCTTGCTTGCCTGAGTGGGGTGCATTATCTGTGCATCCCCATTTGGAACTGTGGAGGACTCCTATTTGGTTTGGTGTGTATGTGTGTCCTGAGGTGGAATATGTAAGGTTTCTGAGCAGAGCTGTGTTGGATATATGCCACAGCAGGGTTTGTTCTCTTCATTGGCTTTTTGGGCAAATATTCCCTTTTTACAGAGCAACCTTTCTCTAATATTTCCATTAGTAAAGTTCCCCCGTGTATGTTCTAAATAGGTCTCTGAAGAGGTGGCATATATATTTTCTAAATAAATATGTCTACCTGCCTTGAGACTAGGGAGATGTATCCCCACCTGTCATCTGAGTTATAGGGGTCCTGGCAGGGGCTTATATAGTGCTAGGGAGAGCTGCAGGAAGCAGCAATCTTAGCAGATATTCTAAGGTGTGCACTGTGGCTTCGGGTTTGTGGCTATGGATGAGGCGGGAGGCAGTTGTATTTTCACTCTCCATGGCCCCTATAGACATTTTTTTCAGGATACAACCAACAGCTGCAGTGACCATTCTGATCCTGGAGGCAAGAGGCTTAGGATGCTGACTTGAGCCCTGCTCTTTGAACACGCTGCAACACCACTCAATTCTACACAAGCACCAGGAGCACACTGGGATGGTGACATACTGGTGTATTTTACTTATTTATATTTAAAACATTTTTATGCTGCCTTTCCACTCAATCAGGGTCCACAAGGCAGTGAACACAAAAACATTTAAACATTTTAAAATACAGTTAAAATTATAAAATTCAGTTAAACACATAAACACGCGGCACTAGAAGGCAGGCCAATACCGTTATTTGGGGGTATGCCAGACGAAACAAAAAGGTCTTCACCCACTAGCAAAAGACACTGATAGATATGGGAATTTTTTTGGGGGGGGAGTTCCAGAATTTTGTTGGTATTGTCAGTGTTACTCCAGTGGAGGGCTTAGTAAACATCCTAAGCCTTTAGAGACAGAATTTAGGATTGTGCTGTGAATGTTATGAATACGCATTTGGATAAATGTAATAAAATGGGTATATATTTGTTTGTCTCTTAGTTTGGGTATGAAGCAGAGGTCCAATGTCATCAGCTACGTTACAGTGAATGATTCCCCTGACTCAGACTCCTCGCTGAACAGCCCCTATGCATCAGATGCACTTTCCACGCTCAGGAGCTCTGGGGCAGCAATGGAGCCAAACAGAGGGGCAGCTGAAAGCTCTAGCTCCCGTACCATTATTGTGCCTCTGAAAACACAGCTCAGTGACTGTATCGTAGCCACCCAAGCCTCAGGTATGGTCGATCACTTACAGAGCTACCATGAAGAAATATTTGTGTTTTAAAATGTCACTGTGCTTTCAGTGAACATTAGTCTTCATAGTTGTCGTACCCATTATTTCAAAGGCTGGAGTGGACAAGCACAGTTGTCAGTTTCAGGGCATTGTAAAATGATGGGTATTTGCCAAAGGGATACGTTTGGCTGACAGTGGATGAATACAACAGATTTGTGGTGCTGAACATTTCTGTTTACTTCACTGTTAGCATGTTTTCTCAAGGGTTATTCTTACTCTTGTTCTAAATTATTTTTCCGAGTTATTGGTGGAGTTGGACGATGATCATTAATGATCCATTTGTGTCTTAAGAGTAGATGTAGTTTCTTATCATTATTCCATACATTTCTAAACTATTGCTCTACAGAATATTTTTATTGTGCTTTTAATGTTTTGAAGTATGCTCTCTTAATACTTCCTAATAAATTACTGCTTAGATTCCTGTGCTGCTTTTTTATACAATTTCAGATGATTAAACAGGTCCACATTACAGTGGGTTGGGTCCTGTTGAAAAGATCCATGCATGGAAATGAGTCTTCCCCACTTCCCACCACCTGCAGCTGCCCAAAATGCCTTTTGGTGTTGTGTGCCCCCCCCCCCCCCCCGAGAGGGAGGAATCAGCAAAAATTGCCACCCTCTGCATATATGTGGACCTGTGGACCGTTATTTCTTTAATGATTTTAAAGTATCTGTACAACTTTGCAGTGATGCCCAACATACAAAGCCCAGCATCCTTAGCATTGCACCTTCAGTATTTTATTTTATTTATATTTTCTTCAACTGTATAGAATCTCTACAAAATTTTTTCCCCAAAAAATATCCTGATTTGCCATATTAGTTGAAATAGTAGGTCCTGCTATATAAATATATTACCTTTGTGCAACAAGCATATTAACCAGTGATGGAATAGTCATCAGTATATTTTGTGTGTGTATCATGTACATACATACAGAGTGCCTACAGAAGGTTTGTGATGATGGCAAGTGGGACACTTCTGAAAGGGAGGACGTGAAAGGGCAATGCAAGGTGACAGGCAAACATTTTCAGGGAATTCCTTTTTAAAAAATCACAAAACAGGGAAAATTACCAAGAAGTTTTGCATGCCACCCCATCCCCTCTCTGGTGAATAGTTTCAGCATAGTTTCTATAATTAAGGACAAGGACAGGGATATTGAGAACTGCACTCAGGAGGGCTATGGGATGTGTTCTAAGAGCCTCTTATGCTGCATGGAGGTCCAATCTTGAAACTAAATGGCTGGTTGTGGTGTGCAAACCGTGTCAAAATTTCACTGGGTATACCAGACCTTTGGGCATAAATCAGCACTTTGTATCCTGGCCAGAGAATCTCATTTTCTGCACTTTAAAAAGTAAGCTGAACTTTATCATTAATGTTGCAGGTGTCCTGAGTAGCCTGAGCAAGACCAAGCCAGTGGCCTCTGTAAGTGGGCAGTCTTCAGGATGCTGTATCACACCTACAGGATATCGGCAGCACCGGGTGGTGACAAATGGTGTACAGCCACTCAACCTTAGCCAGGTAAGCAGAGATCTGCTACTGGATGGCTACTGCTGAGAATTCTGCTGCTAGGTTTGTACATAAGCAGTTGTGAACTGGTACATGAGGAAGAGTCCAGATCATGTTGGGTGAAGGACGAGCTGAGAAAGATGAGGATTTGTAGAGCAGAAATACTGGATGGAGGTTTGGACTAGACTGATTCTGTTTCAGCTCCACATAATCAACACATGCTATGCATCAGACGTACTAAACTTCTTTCCCAACATTACATGCTGGGAAGTATCCTTTTGCTGCCTTCTGCTGTATGAAAGAGTTGTGGGTTGCCGTGGTGTCTTCTGGCTTTTGAGCCAACCAGGCTAACTACTGACAGTCTGCAGTGCCAGCCTGGTTTGATAACAAACTTACCTGTTGTACTCTTTCTTCCTGTTTCTTCATTCAATACACCACGTCTGTTACATCTGGTACTATGTTGTAGTTATCTAAGAAATCTTTTCCTCCCCTTCATAATTTTAGGATTAAGACTAGAGTCAGCTTTCTCTTTTTGTTTCTGGGCAAACTCCGAAATTATTGGTCTGGATAAGCAACTTCTAATAATAGTTCTTAGAACAACATCTCTCTGAATTCTTTCTCAATGTATGTCTTCTCTGCTTTGCAGAACCAGCAAGCAACTGTACTGGCCTCACAGGAGAGAAGCGGGAACCCAGCTCCACGTAGACAGCAGGCTTATGTTGCTCCCCTGCCAACAACAATTGCTCAGGCTCCCTACACCTTCCAGCACAGCAGCCCGGTACATCCCCACTTGGCAGCAGCAACAGCAAGCCAGCCTCACATGTATACCTACGCACCGACTACTGCTGCCACACTAGGTTCCACCAACTCTATTGCGCATCTCTTTTCCCCTCAGGGCTCCTCCAGGCATACCACCTATGCGACACACCCAAGCACTCTCGTGCACCAGGTCCCAGTCAGTGTGGGACCTAGCTTGCTGACATCTGCCAACGTAGCACCTGCTCAGTATCAACATCAGTTTGCTACCCAGTCCTACATTGGTGCTTCCAGAGGATCTGCTATTTACACTGGATACCCACTGAGCCCTACCAAGATTAACCAGTACTCTTACTTGTAGCTTTTGGGGCAGAGATCGGTGGTAGCTGTTTGCATCTTGGTCGTAGAAATGAAGAGATCTGCAATGGGTTTTGAAATATCCTGTCAGCTCCTCAACAGTACCACTGTGTAATCAGAGGAGGAGAACAGGGGGCCACCTCACTCTTGTTGACTGTGCCCTTTATGGTCCTCAGAGTCTGTACAATTGGTGATGCCCTGCTGTTTGGGGGTGGGGGGGGGAGCTTGGGCACTGACCGGGCAGAACCTTTTGGATCATATTCAAATTTAAAATTTACAGTTAATTTTTATGGATGCTTTATTAAAACAACATCAAAGGCCTGAATCCCCATTCATTTATTCTGTTTATGTTAATCAGAGGGGGAAAAGAAATCAAGGACTCTTTGAAAAGGCTGGGTTTCTTTCTGTAACTCTTATACTTACCTAGTATTTGTTTAAATTATTATTTTAGCAGCTTGCACAAATCCATATTGCCACTAAAAATGCACATTTAACTCTAGGTTGCTAGGGCAGATTTATAAACTTGAGTTAGTATTTTATAGTTCATTTTGTAATTCACATTTTGATAGGCAATAGCTGAATTCTGCAAAAAGCAGTTATTTCCCCCTCCCCCTCCTCAGTGTGTATATATGTATATCTTGCTCCCCAGTTTCTTGGTTTTAATTATTTTCTTGTTTTGCTTAAGGCTAAAGCAGGAGGGAGCTATAATAGTTAATTTTATGTTTGTAGTTCCCATTTCAACCTTAACACTTTCTTTCTTATAATATCTGAGTCTCCAAAATAAATTTGAGGGTTATTTTGTTTTTTTTAAATTGCATATAATATGAATTTCCTTTCAGTTGTATGCAAGAAAACAGTATATGATATGGTTTGATTCTTTTGCCAGTTCCTCAGCAAAAATGCACAGACCTGTGTTTTTTGCAAGCAAAACTCACTGGGAATGGCTCCTGATTATTGAAATGAGTAATAGCTGTTTATTGATCATTCATTTCAGTAGACTTAATCAGGAGGAGAGCCCACTGGATTGTATCCTTTCAGTATTTTAAAAAATTAAATAATAGTTGCCGCTGGATTCCTTTTTTCCAGAAATGCAGGGATCTCCTTCCCTTCATGTCTTTTTTTGCCTGGTCAATTTAGTTAAGGTATCCAAAATTCACTGAAAGGTCAACCTGCTGACATGTACAATTTTTTATACTCCTACAAGCATACCCTTCTGGGATTTTGTTGGCAACAAACTTTAAAGCGCTCTTAATAAGACTTGTATACAGTAAGTGCATGTGGGAATTGCAAAACATGACACACAAATTCCAGATTTTAAAAGTTTATTACTGAATTTAAAACTATTTTAGAAGTTTTGTAATGGTGGTGTTTTAATATTTTACAGAAAATGAAATATTGTACATATTCAAAATATAACAAGCAAAATTTCCTGCTAATCCCAAATGTCTTTGTAATCAAAATGTGTAGTGATTATACTTGAACTCTGTATTTAGTGTTTGTCTTACTCTTAAACGTTTCTGGGGATGAAATTGATCTATTCCTTTGTATTTAAACCAAAATGAGTTAATACATGTTGGAATGTATGTGAAATAATGCAATCGTCTAGAGCTCATCACTGTAGCACTGAGAGAGGGAAAAAAATGGAGCTGCATGAGAGACAAGGATACCTTCTGATTTGTTTTGCACAGGTATGTGTGACTGGTGTGTTCCCCCCCATATTGTAGTGCCTTAAATGATTATGTAGTGTGACTAGAGTTTACAGTGAGCTTGCCTTATGATGGACCAGCAAGCCCCTCCGCTCTCCGTCAAAACTGAAGCAATTCATTGAGCATATCCAACTGAGGATAGATACAAGTGGCAAAAATATGTTGCTTTAAGTTTCAATGCCAACTTAAAAAACTGTGGGCGCAATCCTCTCAAAGTTTAAGCACTCAAGTCCAATCAATTTCAGCTGTGCAGTTACCCAGCTCCCACCATGATCAGTGGTTGAAATAACACAGCAAACCATGATTTGCACTAACTATAATTTAGAATCCAAATCATGGTTTAAGCTTCCAAAAGTATAATGGCCAAGTTATAGTTTAGAGTTGCTTGGCTGCTTTTGCTTTCTGTCCTCTTGAGAGTTCAGATTTATAAGCTGATATTCCATCTCAATGTGCAGTAGCCTTAGTAGGTAGAATAACGGGCAAACCTGTGGTTTCTCAAATTTATCATGCCAAATCATAGCACAAACCATGGTGTACAAACTTTATTCAGATGGATTTCAATCCTGTTTGGCCAGCCACTTGCAATCCATGATTTGTCAGTCCATACTCACTTCCAACAATAGTTAAGCTTCTTTAGTCATGGATTGGCATGAAGTCTCAATTTAGCCAATACATTTTAAAAGTACTTGAATTTGGCTGGATTGTGCCCTAAGTGTTTTATTTGGAGTAAAGCTTCCCCCCCCCTCAAAATGTTACCTAAACTCTTAGCCGTTGATGCATTTGTAATAGGGTATTGTGCTGGGAATGCATTGGGAAATTTATCTGATGTTGCAGAGGTGATTTAAGCACGTGCAATTACTTTTCCTTAGATTATATCGTGATGTTATCTTTTTCTCTTGTGTGTGTAGCAGATGTTCCTTGTAAAATATTACTAGTTTGGTGTTAGAATTTTTATACCAAAGAGAGCCTGCTGGAAAGCACATAATATTCAGAAATTTATTTAACACCACTAGTAATGTTGAGCTTTTGGGGAAGGTTTGAGACCTGTAGCACTTGTGTTGTGCGGAAAATGCACACCCAAGCTAGTCAACCAGTGGTGTGCTTATAAACCACACTTGGTTTCCCGGGTTCTTTAAACTACAGTTCATTCAACCACTGCCATAGTACAATGAGGAATCTTGGCCAAATGGAGAATAAACTGGCTTGGAGAGTGGTATTGCTACAGCAATAAGAGGCTTGGACAGCCTTGAAACCCATTCTGTATTCCGTCCAGTCTGGATTATAGGTTAGTTTTGATACGTTACAAAGAACTCAGAAATGTAAAACCCATTTCTGAAATACATGCTATAGCCTAGCCCAAATCTGAACAGCTTGTAGAATGATATAGGGCAATAACCCTGACCCCACTGAAGTTCAAGGGGGTTTGCCAATTTCAGTGAGGCCAATTTTTTGGTGATCTTCAAGCCACTGACTCAAATAGGAGTAAGAAGTTTGTAGACCATAAGCCTTGCAGTTTCCTTTATCATGAGGAATGTATTGTTTTTGGCAATAGACGAGAGTGGTTGGTTAACACCACAACTAGCCGTGAATCTTTGTTTACTGTACTCTTGCTTTCAAGTTGTTCAGTCTCTTCCTCTGTATCAGTGTGAGGATAACCAAGGCATTTAAGTTCTTTGCACCACTGAGTGTCGACAATGCTTTCTGTTGCTGTAACATTATCAAAATGATTTTTCTGCTTGATACTCCCCCCCCCCCCCCCCCTTTTTCTCCCCCCCCCCCCCCCCGTTTTAATGGCATGTATTCCATACTTTCCCTTGCAAGATCTTCTAAGGGCAGAGTTGTGCTTTTCCATCTAAGACAAAAATTCCAAGCCTTCCCCACATAATTTCAAAAGTCGTAGGAATCACGGAAATTAGCCAGGACTTCCAATGAATTAGTTGGGTAAGAAATGCAAACTGTGTTAAGTCCTGAAATTCTAAGAGATGTACTTAATATTTTGATGTTCAAAGCCAATTCACCTCCACTGAGTCAAGTATCCCCTCAGTCTTCACAAGGTGCAAAATGTGATTGGACACCATCAGTGTTAGGAAACTTTTCTAAAAAGAGGTATCCCTACAGGCTGGATTATGATCTTAATTATTAGTCTAGAGGCCAGATACTTTGGAGCCAGCATATTTTAATGATTCTACTTTACCAAGGCCTAGTTTTACAAATAGCAGACAAGATAGAAAGCCTGTGTCTGAACAGCACTGCTTCAAACAGCAGATCTTGAACCGTTAACCTACATCGTCTCACATGATGGAATGCTTCTCCATTAAAAACAAAAATGTCTGCTTGTAGAAAACAAGTCAGGGAGAAAGCTGTCTGAGAAACTTTCTCCTTGCCAACTGGGTAGCCAGTTGTGCACAAAAACATGTGCATATTTGTATCAGTAAGTGAACCCCTTTCCAGAACAATTTGGAATATCTACTCTATGCTGAGACTGCATTTTGTCACACAGTTGTATGTGTGTACATGTCCTGTTTGAAATCTGAGGGTCTTGTACATGTGTGACTGTGCAGTTCTGCAGCTGGAGTTTGTTTGCAGTAAACTTGCCTTTTGTAATGATGAGAAAAGACGTGTTTCACTTAGATTCACTCTTGTGATTAGTTAAGCCAGTTATTCAATATTTCTGATAGCTGAAGTCTCACCACACAGTTGTGTTACTCCACTGCAAAAAGCAACTCCAGAGCTTTACTGCTTGCACATAGTTGATCAGTGCAGTACTTTACCTCTGACTCAATATTTTTAAGTACATTAAATTAAATTGCTTCTAGGTGATTGGATTGGCACAGCCCTGCTTTCTCATTTTAATTTTTAACTTATGAATGGTGCCGCATGTTGACATAGTTGTTTGTTTGTTGCTAAACTTTATATAATATGTGATTTCAGATTCAGCTTGAACTATTATCTAACTCACTACATGTAGCAGTGCATTATATGTAATGTTAGTATTTCTGCTTGAATCCTTGATATTGCAATGAAATTCCTACTTTATTAAATGTATTTGATATGCTAGTTTACTGTGTAGAATTTAACTTTTTTCTGGTTGTGCTCTTCCTTTTTACAAGCCGCTAGATAAAGGTAGTTTCTGACAATTACTGATCTATGTTTGTATTGCCAATGTACTTAGGGGGTAATGTAAAAATCATTTTAACAAAAGGAAATACAGATATTTAAAAAATTTACTACTAACTATATGGAAAAAGGGTCCATTGTGAAAACATAGTTTATCTTTGGATTCAATGTTTGTCTTTGGTTTTACAAAGTAGCTTGTATTTTAAGTATTTTCTACATAATATGGTAAAATGTAGAACAATTGCAATGCATCAATTAAAAGGGTTAATTTTCTGTACTCTATATATTTGGTGGTTTCTGACTTCTCATAACATAACAAAAGACCTCCAAGACTTAATAATTTAGGAAACAACTGCACCTTCCCTTTCTGAAAAATTATTTCTGTGAACTGTACTTTAGAGGAAAGACTGGGGAAACCACTGGGCGCTCAGTATGTAAAAAGAAATTATGTTTGGAATAAATGAATTACAGCTGAATTCACTTGTATCACATCAGGGCAAAGGCGGTCCAGATCTGTCCCCCTCTCCTTGTTTTGGAAGACATTGTGGGGCTTGGAAGTGCTAGTTTCAGAGTTAGTCCCTTGCTCAGGAGCTAGTCACATGAACATATGAAATTATCTTATACTGAATCAGACCCTTGGTCCATTGAAATCAGTATTGTCTACTTAGAGTGGCAGCGGCTCTTCCGGGGTCTCAGGTAGAGGTCTTTTCCATCACTTACTGCTAGATTTTTTCACTGGTGATACCAGGGATTGAATGTGGGACCTTCTGCATGCCAAGAAGATGTTCTACTGCTGAGCCACAGCCCATCTTGAGATAGGCCCTATGGTGTGTCAGTTCTTCCCCCAGTTACTGAATTCTGTACCTTGAACAAAATAGCACTCCAGAGCTTTTTAGAGTGGGAGAGATTCAGTGGGTAGGAATGGTAAAAAGGTTAGCAAATGCAAGCATTAGGAGGCTGTATCACTATTCCTAGCACCAGAGACACATGGCTGGTATTGGAGGACAAGTACATACAGCAAAGTATTAAAGTAAAAGATCCTTTCTGGTTTCCTGCCTGGTATTGCCCATACATTTCCAAACCTATTAACATGGAAAACAAAGTTGCACTTACCTGTAACTGTTGTTCATCAATGTCTTCTGCTCAGATGCACATTCCTTCCCTCCTCCTTCTCTGTGAGCTCTCATTGGAAAATCTGGAGGGATATATTGCTTTAGGAGCTCACAGCAGCTTGGTGGGAACTGAGGGAAGGGGGGGGGCAGTCCATCACAAGAGTAGGTGATGCACGTGTGAGGAAGGGTGCATGTGTTCTGCTCCTCGCGGGCGGACCACTCCAGTTCTAGAGAGTTTTTAGCTAGAGAAGTGTTCTCTGCAGCCGGCTCCTCGTGGGCAAATTTCCCCAGTTACAGAAAGTTTTTACCTAGAGAAGGGAGGAAAAGAAGAAGGAAACAGATTGCTAGAAGCAACAACCTTGTTAGGATGCTGCAACCTAACAATGACTGTAGCAGGCAGCCATAGAGCCAATTTTTTTGGGTATTCCCGAATATTTCTGGATACCAATACATTACCACTATTGGTATTTGGGTATATTCAGGAATACCAAAAAAATTC